ATATTAATGGTCCATACCTGGCATGGACCCCATCTCTGGACCTGGGCTTTTAAAATCAGAAGAGTGTTCTTTTTATTACAGGGAAATTTAAAATACACTTTGCATGAAATGAGAGACAAGAGAATAGAGAGAGACCTCGGAACGTCTTCGTCTTTGTCTTCGTCTTCCTCCGCTTATCCGGGTCGCGGGGGCAGCATCCCAATTAGGGAGCTCCAGGCCGTCCTCTCCCCGGCCTTGTCCACCAGCTCCTCCGGCAGGACCCCAAGGCGTTCCCGGACCAGATTGGAGATGTAACCTCTCCAACGTGTCCTGGGTCGACCCGGGGGCCTTCTGCCGGCAGGACATGCCCGAAACACCTCCCGGGGAGGCGTCCAGGAGGCATCCTGACCAGATGCCCAAACCACCTCAACTGGCTCCTTTCGATCCGGAGGAGCAGCGGTTCTACTCCGAGTCCCTCCCGAATGTCCGAGCTCCTCACCCTATCTCTAAGGCTGAGCCCGGCCACCCTACGGAGGAAACTCATTTCGGCCGCTTGTATCCGCGATCTCGTTCTTTCGGTCATTACCCAAAGCTCATGACCATAGGTGAGGATTGGGACGTAGATCGACCGGTAAATCGAGAGCCTGGCTTTCTGGCTCAGCTCCCTCTTCCCCACGACAGATCGGCTCAGCGTCCGCATCACTGCAGACGCCGAACCAATCCGCCTGTCGATCTCCCGATCCCTCCTACCCTCACTCGTGAACAAGACCCCGAGATACTTAAACTCCTCCACTTGAGGTAGGACCTCTCCCCCGACCCGGAGGTGGCAAGCCACCCTTTTCCGGTCGAGAACCATGGTCTCAGATTTGGAGGTGCTGATCCTCATCCCAGCCGCTTCACATTCGGCCGCGAACCTACCCAGCAAGAGCTGAAGGTCAGAGCTGGATGAAGCTAGGAGGACCACATCATCCGCAAAAAGCAGAGACGAGATTCTCCTGCCACCAAACTCGACACACTCCACACCACGGCTGCGTCTAGAAATTCTGTCCATAAAAGTGATGAACAGAACCGGTGACAAAGGGCAGCCCTGGCGGAGTCCAACCCTCACTGGGAACAGGTCCGACTTACTACCGGCTATGCGGACCAAACTCACGCTCCTCTGGTAAAGGGACTGAATGGCCCTTAACAGAAAGCCACCCACCCCATACTCCTGGAGCGTCCCCCACAGGGTGCCCCTGGGGACACGGTCATAAGCCTTCTCCAAATCCACAAAGCACATGTGGATTGGTTGGGCAAACTCCCATGCCCCCTCCATCACCCTTGCAAGGGTATAGAGCTGGTCCACAGTTCCACGGCCAGGACAAAAACCACATTGCTCCTCCTCTATCTGAGATTCAACTATCGATCGGACCCTCCTCTCCAGTACCCTGGCGTAGACCTTTCCAGGGAGGCTGAGGAGTGTGATCCCCCTATAGTTGGAACACACCCTCAGGTCACCCTTCTTAAAGATGGGGACCACCACCCCGGTCTGCCACTCCCTAGGAACTGCCCCCGATGACCACGCAATGTTGTAGAGACGTGTCAACCATGACAGCCCTACAACATCCATAGCCTTGAGATACCCAGGACGAACCTCATCCGCCCCCGGGGCTCCGCCGCTGTGTAGTTGTTTGACTACCTCAGCAACATCTGCCCCCGAGATCGGACAGTCCATCCCCAGGCCTCCCAGCTCTGGTTCCTCCTCGGAATGCGCATTGGTGGGATTGAGGAGCTCCTCAAATATTCCTTCCACCGTCCGACTATAGCCTCAGTTGACGTCAGCAGCTCCCCATCCCCACTGTAAACAGTGTGAGCGAGTTGCTGCCTTCCTCTCCTGAGGCGCCGGACAGTTTGCCAGAACCTCTTTGGAGCCGATCGATAGTCTTTCTCCATGGCCTCACCAAACTCCTCCCACGCCCGAGATTTTGCCTCGGCAACTGCCACTGCTGCACCCCGCTTGGCTATCCGGTTCCTGTCTGCTGCCTCCGGAGACCCACAGACCAGCCACGCCCTGTAGGCCTCCTTCTTCAGCCTGACGGCTCCCCGAACCTCTGGTGTCCACCAGCGGGTACGGGGGTTGCCACCACGACTGGCACCGGCCACCTTACGACCACAGCTAGTAACAGCCGCCTCGACAATCGCAGAGTGGAACAAGGCCCACTCGGACTCAATGTCCCCCACTGCTCTCGGGACGTGGTCAAAGCTCTGCCGGAGGTGGGAGTTGAAGACCGTCTTGACAGGTTCTTCTGCCAGGCGTTCCCAGCAGACCCTCACTATGCGTTTGGGTCTGCCAGGTCTACGCGGCATGTTCCCTTGCCATCTGATCCAACTCACCACCAGGTGGTGATCAGTTGACAGCTCCGCCCCTCTCTTCACTCGGGTGTCCAAAACATACGGCCGCAGGTCAGATGATACGACTACAAAATCTATCATCGACGTGTGACCTAGGCTGCCCTGGTACCAAGTGTACCGGTGGGCATCCTTATGTTCGAACATGGTGTTCGTTATGGCCAAACTGCGGCTTGCACAGAAGTCCAATAACAAAACACCGCTCGAGTTCAGATTAGGTGGGCCATTCCTCCCAATCACACCCCTCCAGGTCAAGCTGTCATTGCCCACGTGAGCATTGAAGTCCCCCAGCAGGACAATGGAGTCCCCTGATGGAGCACTATCTAGCACTCGTCCCAGGGACTCCAAAAAGGGTGGGTACTCTGAACTGATATTTGGCCCATAAGCACAAACAACAGTCAGGACCCGTTCCCCGACCCGAAGGCGCAAGGAAGCTACCCTCTTGTCCCCCGGGGTAAACCCCAACACACAGGCAGAGAGTCTCGGGGCTAACAAAAAGCCAACCCCAGCCCTCCGCCTCTCACCCGGAGCAACTCCAGCAAAGTAGAGTGTCCAACCCCTCTCCAGGTCTCGGGTTCCAGAGCCAATGCAATGTGTCGAGGTGAATCCGACTATATCTAGCCGGTACCGCTCAACCTCTGCCACAAGCTCCGGCTCCTTCCCCGCCAGCGAGGTGACGTTCCATGTCCCAAAAACTAGTTTTCTTGTCCGGGGATTGGACCGCCAAGGCTCCCGCCTTGGTCTGCCACCCGATTCGCATTGCACCGGACCCTTCATGTTCCTCCTGCGGGTGGTGGGTCCACAGTTGGACGAGCCCATGTATCCGGTTCGGGCTGGGCCCGGCCGGGCCCCATGGGCGAAAGCCCGGCCACCAGGCGCTCGCTCACGGGCCCCAACCCCAGGCCTGGCTCCAGGGTGGGACCCCGGTAACCCTCCGGGCCGGGTACTCCGACTCTTCGTTTTAACTGCCATGAAAGATCCTTCGAACCGTTCTTTGTCTCACCCTTCACCTAAGACCAATTTGTCATGGGAGACCCTACCAGGGGCACTAAGTGCCCCAGACAACATAGCTCCTAGGATCATTAGGGCACTCAAACTCCTCCACCACGATAAGGTGACGGTTCAAGGAGTATTACATTTTAATTAATGACCAGAGATATTAATGGTCCATACCTGGCATGGACCCCATCTCTGGACCTGGGCTTTTAAAATCAGAAGAGTGTTCTTTTTATTACAGGGAAATTTAAAATACGCTTTGCATGAAATGAGAGACAAGAGAATAGAGAGAGACCTCGGAACGTCTTCGTCTTCGTCTTCCTCCGCTTATCCGGGTCCGGGTCGCGGGGGCAGCATCCCAATTAGGGAGCTCCAGGCCGTCCTCTCCCCGGCCTTGTCCACCAGCTCCTCCGGCAGGACCCCAAGGCGTTCCCGGACCAGATTGGAGATGTAACCTCTCCAACGTGTCCTCGGAACGTTTAAGAAAAATTTATTATCTAAATTATTTTAAACAATTAACAGGACTAACTCTCTAGTGATGGATGCGAATGGAATGGAATGAGGTGGAGTTTGTGTTGGTACGATGTCAGTTCAGAACCTCCATCTGGAGAAGCGAGTCTGAGTGGGAGATGTTGTTTTGCTCCTAACTGATCGACGTTTGAACCTTAGTCAGAAAGGCATGAGACGCTATCTGTGCCGTTCTACATTACCCATCAGGGACTCCCGTGTTAGATCAGGCTGCCAGGTCCACGGACCCTCATCTGGTACTGGAGCCGAACGAAGCAGTGTCCTCAGCACAACAAGCCAGTCTATGGATAGTCTCCAGGTAAAAACGGCAGGTGTTTCACAGCGCCACAGGGACCCCCCTTTGGGTCAGCGAGTTCAGCTTTCACTCTGAAGGAACCGTTGTTTGTTGGTAACAACGACAGGATTTTCCCAGCTTGGCAGTTCTCAGCTTAAAAGTAAAAAGTACAGGTGGCCGGTCCGGACTCCACTTAGCAATGATGAACATCAGATGATTTTGAGAGCTGGCTGAATACTGAACTCAAAATGGCATTGTTCTGACTTATTAATCTCGATGTTTTCGTTTCTGGACGAATCACAGCTGACAGATTAAACAAACACCACAGAGACTCTGCCACGCTTCAGATGTGAAGGTTCTGATTGAATTTTGCAACCGAAATGTGTCATGATTATTTATCTTGTGAATCAGCTGTCTAGTGGCTACAATACATCATTTCCTTATTAAACATTAATCATAACATTGTGATTTCACAGATCGGTCAATGGTTATTATTGACTAACAGTTGTTTTGATTAGCTTTATTAAAATAGAGTTCTTTGGTTAATTAAAAGAAAAGAGTTCATTCTTCGTTCTTCTGTCTTCACTGCTGGAACGTAAACATTAGGAGTGAATGCATGACCTTGGGCTGTTTCACGCACTCTGGCGCTGTGTCAAACAGAACAGCTGTTAGGGGGGAGAAATGGCTCCTTCATCACGTTACAGATGTAACTAACGAATCGTTACAACTGTGTGATCATTTCTGTCTAACAGCTACTAGATAGAATGACATTTTTTCTATGACTTTTTAGGTTGAGTTGTTGCTTTTTAATTCATTTTTAATACTCTTGCTGCAGGTTGAGCTGAAGAGTGGAGCCACATATGATGCAAAGATCAAAGACATTGACGAGAAGGCCGACATCGCACTGATCAAAATCGACGTACCGGTGAGCAGAACGGGCAGTGCCCTTCGTAGCTTATTTTTCACTTTTCTTGTTGTTTATATTTTTCCCTAGTAAACAGTTTAAGTTACAAAAAGTTAAAGGTTTAAAACTTGATGTATTCCGCCCATTAGAGAGTCATTTAACCCTTTGATGCATAATGGTCACTACAGTGGACAGGTATTCAAAATTGTTATTTATTTATTTTTGCTATTAAGCATAGCTGTTGAAGACTTTATTGCACTTGAGCCCCTCCATCTGGACTTCAGTAATTCAAGCCAACATATTTCATGTTCAGAATGCACGCTGTCCACTGAGGTGGACATGTAATAAATTATTTGTAAATTAACAGAACATTACAAAAGATATTTGTTGAAATTTGTTTCATTTGCACCTAAAAATGAATGAAAAAAATTGTTTAAAAAATCATGGTTGAAGATTTCATAATTCATGCATAAAAGGGTTAAAAAATCTTACATGATCACAAATTTGCTATTTCTGCTATGTCATCATAATCAGATATATTACATATGTTTGGTTTGTTCAGAGATAACTGTATCTATTGGAACACAAAAACACAAAGCAATTAGATTTGATTTAATTTGGTTTCCAGAGTCCCATCTGAGATTCATCCCTTCACTCAGTGTTTTCCCACCTTGTTTGTCTTTGTTAACTCCCAGGTTCTGTTGTAACTTTCTTTGTGTCTCCTTATGCTAAACCATCCCTTGTCTTGGTTTCATTTTCCAACACAAACAGCATAATTCCCGTATTTATTCCAGATTTGCAGAGTTAGGTTGTGAATTTTTCCTGAGAAGGATGTCTGGTTTTTATTTTAGTTTGAAGAGGTTTTCAGCCACCACAGTTGAGTTATGTCATGACTCATCAAACTTATCATCTGTGAAGCAGGTAAGCAGAAATCCAAGTCTGATGATGATTAAACAAACAGGTTCAGACAGGAATGTTTTTTATTAACATTTATGTGGTATGAAATCACTTTAGGACTTTTGGAGCATTTCAGAGTTTCTCCTGTCTGGTTTCATTGGTCCAACTCAACAAGACAAATTCGGTACAGCTAGTTTTAACATAATCCATCTTCTCCACTTAGTGCCTTCAGAAAACCAAATAAAACACAGAAACACACTTGCTGCTTACTCCTCTCTAGGGTCGCTGAGAGAGGGTGTCTGTCTCCAGCAGTCACCCGGGTACACCCTGGACAGGTCTCCATCACAGAGACACACAGGCCACCCAAACAGCCACAAACTCAACAATAAGGGACAATTTGGAGTCACAAATTAACGTGCCATGCATTTTTTTTGGCTTGTGGGAGAAACTGGAAACTTACACGTGAGAACATGCAACTCTACAGAAAAGCCACAGTCAGGATTCGAACAAGCAACATTTTTACTGCAAGGTATTACTGCAACGAACTGCACCACCATGCAGGCTGTGAAAATGAAGTCCAGCTGCAGACCAAAGGGTTCGCATAACTCTGATTTGAACTTTTCTCAGATTATTGAGAGGGAAATATCTGTTAAATTGACTGTTTAAAGCTGAAAATGTAGAAAATGAATGTGGAAATAATCTCTGATTAGTTCAACAATTAATCAGACAAACTAAATGTTAATTCTTAGATTTTTTAACAGATTAAATTATCAGGTATAAATCAAGTTTTGGGACCCATAACTCTTATTACATATTTTCTTAAACCCTGAAACTTCTGTTTTGTATGACAAAAACATAGTTAAATGACAAAGCTTTTCCAGAAAATATGTTTAAAAACAACCAAAAAGCATGTTTCTTCAGTCTTTTGCCAGACATTGAATTTCTCTTGAAAAATTTTAACTGATCTCATATGCATCAACTTTGTTGTTTTTAATGGAGTTTTGAGATTATCAAATTTATTCAAGCACAGTTGTTGTGATTGAAAAGAAAGAAGGAAAACAATGTTTTATATAGCGCTTCTCAAGATATGAATCATGAGGCACTTCATAAAAACAAAAAAATAAAAATATGTATAAAAAAGATAAAAAAAAATGTTTAAAATTACACACACAATAAAGATGTGACGGGATCGTGATGAAGATCACACCAAAGCCAGCTTGAACAGGTGAGTTTCAGCTGCTTCTTAAAGGAGACCACTGAGTCCACTGATCTCAGGCTCAGGGGGAGAGAGTTCCAGAGAGTGTGTGTGTGTGTGTGTGTGTGGGGGGGGGGGGGGGGGGGGCACAGCAGCAAACGATCTGTCACCTCTGGTCTTTAGCTTGGTGCTGCACAACCAGTAGGCTTTGGTCACTGGACCTCAGGGACCTGCTGGGGGTGTAGGGACTAAGAAGATCACCAATGTATGAAGATGCTTGTCCATGTAAGGCCCTAAAGACCAGAACCAGGATCTTGACATGTAGCTCTACCAAGTGATGGCTACATCAGGAAAAAGGAACACGAGAAACTAGAGAAGTACCAGGGCCTTAAAGAAGAACTTGAGAAAGCCTGGAGAATAAAGACATCAGTGGTGCCCACGGTCGTCGGGGCATTCGAGGCAGTAACCCCCCAAACTAGAGGAGTTGCTAAAGCATATCCCAGGAATAACATCAGACATCTCAGTCCAGAAAAGTGCAGTTCTAGGAACAGCTAAGATACTCAGAACAAGACTTACCAATGAGAGAACATCTGAGGGTGCTACCCACACATTCAGCTGCTGTTCGTTCCACATATTAATGATCCTCACAAGTTCCAACTCTTGGTAAAGGCGACTAATCAGGCTTTCTAACAATAGAACATTTATTATAAAGAGGCAAACAGATTTAGATCAGTGTACAGTTTTCTGTTGATGTTTTTCTGAGTCCAGATGTTTGGGAATGAACTGCTGAGTATGGTGGTTTCAACCTGACACTTTGTGTAAGTGGAGCTTGTCTTTGTGATTACCTTGAAACCACCTCTCTGAGGGGTGAACTCTGCTAACAGCTTGAGCAGGTGAAGCCATCAGACGTGTAGCTGCTTGTTTAAAGCTTCTGTGGAAAGTTAATGAAGCCAGACTTGATTTCTATAGTGTTTTTTCTCTCATCTGTTGTTATTAAACAGCTTTTTTACCATGTACAATTATCCAACTTACTAAAAATCAGGAGTTAGGGGGTATCACATCAGTGCAGAAACCAGAAAGAAGGAGAAAAAAAATAGATAATTCATGCTGGCAGTTTTGTTTGGATGACTCATTTAACACATTTGCAGTGGTCTCTAGTAGGAATATGTGCCTTGGAAGTCGTACTCGGGGGGTGAGGGGAATACTGATGCACCATTTCCAGGAACTAGCAGCTACCCACACGACATGACTACAAAGACATCCCAGTGGGCGCTGAAGAGTATAACAATCGCCGCCATATTAGATAGGTATCTAATTCTCCAAACCCAACTGGAGTCAACACAGGGTGGGCAGTGATGTTATAAAGTTAGCTGTGGTTTTGCTGGGATGCTCACTCAAGGGAGCATGAGCAGACAGGGGCTACTAGAAGCTTTTTCAGTCTTGATCTGTTCAGTGAAGCATTGTGGCAAAATTCCACCTCTGCCCAGCAATGTTCTGTGTGCACATGTCCACCACAAGAACTTCTCTGGGTTCATCTGATCTGCCTCAGCAGGCCGAGACACCTAAACACAGGCAGTAGCACGTGACCTGTGATTAATGACGACTAGCTGCTCAGAGACTGTATTCCATCATGTTCTTTCTTATTTGAAGGATTTATCCGTCAGTGAATTCCTCTGAACTCTGGTCCAAAACTTGAACAGTCTGCTCTGCATTATCTGCTAAAGAAAGTATTACAAACCTCTATATTTATGTAACCTGTTGAAGTGAGGCTGTATCAGAGGTCAAATCTACCTCATAAGCATGTTAAAAGGCGCATTGTTTGTGATTTTGTTGTTTTTATTAACAGTTTTAAAAATGTTTAAACAGTGAACTCCAGCCCAAATTAGCTATTCGTCTTGCAGTTCTCCTAAAGAGACGCCACAAAAGGAGGCAGAGAGGCGTAATGAGAAGGGGAACATGAGTGGTGACCTGTTCCTGTCTTTGGTCTTTGTGTCTGCTGGTTTGGTTGACATGTTGGTGATTACTAAGTGCTGTTTCTGGACTTTGTAATTTTACCCAGACATAGCGCTGTCATTCTGGAAACCACAGAGTGGGAGGTGAGGGGGGTGGACCACCTCAGCAGGGTTGGATTAAAACTCCAGAAGGTTTGAGTTGTTTGTGGATCAGAACGAGTGAACAGAGGTTTATGTTCGGCTGATGGAGGAAAGCTCAGATTTGAACAGCTCTCTGGATCCATTCAGAACCAGAACATTGTGTAAGTTTTGGATGACTGGCCTCATTTAAAATTTGATTAATGATTGGATTAATAGACTTAACAGTTAAAATTAGGATTTGAATTATTTTAATGACTTGATTTCTCTTGTCACCAAGTCTTCCACTTAAATGGGTCAGAGGAGCCAAGATTGTCCTCACCCTCCTTCAGCATGTCCCTGGGGTCTCCTCCTTTGAAGACATGCATTAATCTCCAGGTGTTCAGGAGACCCTCGAGAACATACACAGCTGGCTCCTCTTCGATGTGGAAGAGCAGTGGCTCTACTCTAATCCCTAAAACATATGCTTCTGCATTAGTGCAGGGGCATGCAACGCCATTATTGGTCCTTGCGAGGGCACTCCAGCATGCTCACAAGGACAGGTGGAGTTGAGCCCACTTTTCTAAACATGTGTCCAACGAGCTGGAGAATGCAAGCTGGTCAGAATGCTGCTTTGTCAACAGCACCGCCATTGTCCCCTCAAAAACATAAAGAAAGCCAAAGATATAGTATTTAGTGGCAGACATGGATCAGCTTGAAGAATACCTCGTGGACAAACTCTAAAAATATGAATGTTTATTCACTCATGACTGGAGGAGAAAAAGGATACGCAGCAAGTGTTTTATTTGTGGAGGGAAATGGCGGGAAACGTGGGTTTAGAGGTGGCGAGCGCATGAAGGGGTGGAAGAGAATGAGGGACAAATTTTCCTGTGCTAAAAAGTATCTGAAATACAAAAAACACTATATAAACACAACTATTTATTGGACTGGATACTAGACAGGATACCGCAGAACAGTGCTATGCCCTCTGTTGTCTTGGAGGGGAATTGCTTCGCATCACTCCCCAGGAGATGTGTCTCTCCCAAATGGAGCTGATGTAGAAGCATAAACTAGTGACCCCAGGTTGTAACATAGAATGACCATTAAACCAAGAGCTTCGCCTTCCACTTTAGGTCCCTCTGGACCACAACAAGAATCACAGCAGATGCTGCAAAGATCCACTTGATCATGTTTAGCTGAGAAATTATAGGTTTATGATCATTTTGGTAAAATATGAACATACTGCGTCATGCATGATCACATAAGATAATGCAACGTTGTGCATGATTTGTTATTGCTTACTGCACATGCTGTGAATGTCTCTTAACAACTAACACATAAGTTATTTGTTACATCCTCTATTGGTGGATATGGAGAAGGACGGGGAGTAACACAGAGGCATGTGCTTCAGTTGTGGAAATTGTAAACATTGATTTATTAAAAGGATTTTAAAATGACAAAAAGCTCCAAATCTAAAAGTACTTAAACACATTGTTAAAATGGCCAAGGGTTTACGTTTAAAACAGACATCGAATGCTCCCAAACATTCACAAAACAAAGTCCACTGACTTAAACACAAGTTTGGGAGCCAAGAGGTAACCAGCACTCTGGTCCCTCGTCTGTTAAAAACCTCTAAAAGCTCTTAAGCTTCACTAAGCTTAAAGAACTAAAAACCCATTTAAAAGCCATTAAAACACAAACAAATGGAGCACATGAGAGAACTGGCACAGATCCAGTCTCTCCCTTCCTCCTGGCAGCTCTCCCTTGTATGCTGCTCAGGAGGTGATCAGCCCAAGTGAGTGCAGCTGTGCAGGTAGGAGGTGGAGGCAGCACTGATTGTCCTCTGCAATGTCAGATTTCTGAGGCAAACAGCAACAGCCGTAACAATTATTGATATTTTTGAGTCGTCAAAGGTCAGTTAGCTGCGGCAGCCATCTTGGGTTGATGCCAAAATTCAGTTGTAAATGCGACAGCAGCGACTGACTGTTGTGTGAGACTTTAATTTAAATTTGTCACACACACACACACACACACACACACACACACACACACACACACACACACACACACACACACACACACACACACACACACACACGTGGGCTTCCAAAAAATGTCTGCTTCAGGCATCACATTTTACTTTGTTTCATTACATGTCTTAACCCATTCACACACACGCACGCACCCACACACACACACTGATGCAGCAACTTGACCTGGATGGTGCGGACGTGTTGAATGTACCTGTGGGTTCAGACACGTTTCTCCTTCATGCCGGTAAAAGTAATCAGAGATTAAATGTTTTGTCTGCAGACATCTTCACTCTCCAGACAATGAACTTGTTTACGTTTGTTACATCAGTCTGCATTGGTTTCTCTCATCAACTAAACCTTTGCTGAGCCTTTATGCAACTGAAAATCATGTTTTCAGCACAAGTGTTCTGTCTGCGGCCAAAATTTTACTAAAACTACTGAGAAGGATTCTGGAGCACAGAGCAAAACAAACACTTTAAACTTTTTGGAAACTTTGTGCGCCACAATGTTGGCTCTGATGGGGGGGTTCACCTCTAGCCCTCTGCCTCTCTTACTAAACAGAAGCAAAAGTAGGTCAGTGTGCACTGTTAAGTAACCTGCCTGGAGGCTTGTTATTTAACAGAGGAAATTGACTACACATGTGTACCTGCAGCAGCCAAATAAAATGCTTGGATTTGCAGACAAACAAGTGTGAGTTGCGATCCTGGAGGTGTGGAGTTAATGAAAGTTACTAACATCACAGATGTTCTTAGATGTTCTTTGTTTCAGTCCTCCTGCTCCATGCCTGATGGCATAATAATGTGACTGTCACTGAAATAAAAAGGCCAAGTTCACAGAGAAACCGTTTTTACTTGTTATTTTTGAAATATGATTGGTCACTCTGAGTTTAACATGCAGACTGAACATGAAAATGGTTCTCTACCCGTATTTGCTGAGGCTATTTGTTAGCCACCCATAGAACATAGATGGAAAAATCTTGCTTTAGAAAAGCCAGTGACAAATATACACCACAATGTCAAGTTAGCAATCATGGCATGACTCATCTTAGCTCGTGACATGGAAGGCTATGTTGATGATTTAACATCCAGAAAACAGCAGAGAATGTCTCAGCAAGCAGAAGCTAACCATTAGCATTAGCAACTCCATCACACAGCAGAACTCCTCCAGGTTTGTGTTATTTGTGGAAATAAAACATCAACGTTGCAGAGCAAACAGAGTCAGTGGTAGAGTCGCATTGCTGTTAGCCAATCAGAGGCCAGATGTCCAAATATCAGGAAATATCTACCGTCTTCTACTCACCTCTGCTGTGGCTCACTTTAACTTCTGAAACAGGACCGCCAGAGCATTTTTCTGCCAGAAATCGACTCAAAAGGCATTAATTGCAATGTGTTGTTGTCTAAACATGAACTTAAAATGGTTATCCATGCCTTTATCCCCTCCTGTCTAGATTACTGTAACACACTCTTCACATGGTTTAACAAAAGGCACTTAACCACCTTCAGTTGGTCCAGAACTCTGCAGCGAGGCTCCTAACTGGAGCAAACAGAAGAGCACACATCACTCCTATTCTGATGTCTCTGCACTGGTTACCCGTTAACTTTAGAGCTCATTTTAGGATCCTGACTATAACTTTCATGGCTCTACATGGTCAAGCTCCTCCTTATATTACTGAACTGTTAAAGCCTTATGCTCCAACCCGAGCCCTCAGGTCCACCAGAAACTTCTAGAAGTTCCAAAGACCAGATATAAAAGTCGAGATGATCGCTTTTTCCAGGCTGTTGCGCCCCCACTTTGGAATGAACTTTATAACTGTTCACCTTTAAGAAACAGCTGAAGACCCTTTTATTTAAAGCTGCTTTTACCTAAATCTTTGTGTTTTGCTCCTTTTTAACTCAAATTTATAATCATCTTTAATTTGTTTTATGATATTTATGATAATTTTATAATTTCATGACTTTGCTTTTTCTGATTTGAATTTATTTTATGATACTTGCTCTTTTGTTTTAAGATTATTATGATTTTATGACATTATTACGTTTTTGTTGATTTCTGTGAATCTCTTCGTGACTCTCTTTCTGTGATAAGTGCTAAATAAATAAAAATGTACTTACAATGTGTTTGAAAGAACAAGTGAACTTGTTCTTTAACTTTAAATTGTAAAATGTAATTAAAGCTATTTACTGAATCATAGCTGGTTAAAAGCTGAAGCCCATTTCGTCCATACTATGTGGCTAAGTCTCATCAGTTTTCTACATTCTGGGATTTTCTTGGTTTTTATCAAATGAAAAGGAGTCACTAAGATTTTGTTTAAACATGAACTCAATGAGAAGGATGGAAAAGCTGATAATAAATCACATCCAGCTGGCTTTTTCTAGACTTCCTTTTCAGCTGTTTGTCTGGACCTCTAAATTACTCACACACAGTAAGGACTTCATTTTCTGCAGCTGTACATGCACACACACTGGCAAGGCAGCGAACTGCAGAAAACGTTTGTGAAGATACTAATTTCATATAAAAAATAAAACCGCAGCAGAAAAAAACCCTGACAGGACACGGACAGCCACCTCTCGTGTGTGGGTGGGATTAGAAGACAGAAATGATTTTTACTGTTGGTAAACCTGCGTCACCGTCTATCTGCAACCACGTTTCTGTGACCTGGTTTCAGACCAACTGATGTGGAGGGGTTCCTCCCTGATGACTGGGTGCTTCATCAGTTCTCAGTGACACCGCCCTCTGGGACAACCGATTTTGGTTGCCCGTGTAGGTGATCTTATTCTTCACATTTCTACTCAGAGTTTATTAATGTTCTCAGCAACAGACCAATAAATGGGTTTTCACATTTTAAGTAATATTAGAGACTTTATTATTTATTTATTATTAATTATCTGATATTTTCAATTTAATCAATTAAATCAATTTTCCTCTGGGATTAATAAAGTATTTTTGAATTTGAATTGAATTGAATTTTAAACTGCTGTTATTGCCTTTTTAAGAGTGATGTCCTAAACTATGTCAGCATAAGATGCTGGATTCAGATTGCTAAGTTTTATTCAGAGAAGAATTGAGGACTGAGCTGAATTTGAGTCATAACGGATCCTGCCTTTGAACACTGGAACATTCTGCTCCAGAGTCACAGGGAAGCTTGTGAATTTGCTCCATCTTGGCTGGAGTGTTGTTCTTTTTTTATTATCAGCACATTCTGTTAATTCTCAGAAAAGTCTGCAGTACATTCATTTGCCTTTCTGTTCCTGCTTGTCATCACTGCTGCTGATTTAGAGGCTGGGAATTTGTTTTTACCAGATGCTTCACCCAGTTGGAGAACAGACATGGCTCTCTGCAGAAATGACTTTAAAACAACACAACCATCTTTTACAAGTTTAAGTTGGGTTTTTTCTGCTTCGTGGGAGACAGTTCTTCTTTAGTGCTTTACTTTTAATTTCCCCTCACTAATGTAGAAGAAATGTTCTCATGGTCACATGTCAGAGATGCATTAGTTGCATGAATCGTTTTGGAACAAGAACCCAGCACCTTTTGGAGCCTCTTATTCTGAACTTTGCTGTTTGTTTGTTTGTCGGAGCAGATGAAGCTGCCGGTGCTGCTGCTTGGTCGTTCTGCAGATCTGCGTCCTGGAGAGTTTGTCGTGGCTATCGGCAGTCCCTTCTCCCTGCAGAACACCGTCACCACCGGCATCGTCAGCACCACCCAGAGGGGAGGCAAGGAGTTGGGCCTCCGCAACTCGGACATGGATTACATCCAGACAGACGCCATCATTAACGTAGGTGAAGACAGACGATCACAATCCCGGAGACTCGTGGTTTAAAGAAAAATAATATGCAGTTGTGATATTTTAGTTGTCATGATGCAAACAACATTCCCCATCTGCTGCTGTTAACACATAGGGGAGTGGGATTCATCTATTATCCCAAAAAATAAATTTTGAGTATGCAGTTTGTGTGTTTGTTTAGTGGAATTCTATGAGACATCCATAATCTTTGATAAGCTGAGCAGCCCTGTTTAAAAAGCATTTTCAACCATACAGTGATTACTCCACATCATTTTAAAACCGATGAGGAACCACTAACATAAAACGATGTTCTGGGATCTTTCTGGTGATAAAGGAGAGTATAGCTGGTCATTTCTGTGTCTTTTTATCAAATAAACGTGTAAAATATGTATCTTTAGTTGTCTGAACCAAAAAGCTTTGGAAAAGACAACGTTTTTACATTCTTTATGTGTTTTCTTGCAGTACGGCAACTCAGGAGGACCACTAGTCAATCTGGTGAGTTTAAATTTGTGAAGAGAAGTGAAGTAGAAGTTTATTCGGCCAAATGTTTCACATCTCACAAACAGACAACACATAAGCCCTCACGCTCAAAGCTCAGATTTGACCGAAAAGGGTAAAGGCTGAAGAATAACTTCGACAGTCATACAAGCATACATTTATATCCATACAAACACTACGTACCAGGTCAGATCCATCAGCTAAGCGAGAGATCATGAAACAGATGTCAGAATTTGTTATCCATGCATGATATTTTCTCAAAATTTTTTCAATGAGCTTGATTTTTTTTACTGTGTGTGTTATTTTTTATTTAAGTGTCATTTTTATTTTCTTCTCTAAGATTATCTGTTCAATATTTCTGTGGCCATAATGACAAAACATTGTATTGCTCATCTATCTTTTCAACACTTTTGAAGCAGCGTCCACAACAGAACTAAGTTATTTTCTTCAGTGTACTTCATATCGGAAGCTTAGAACGTAGATGATGTTTACTGTTTTGTCAGTAGAAACCTAATGGAAGTGGGACTCGTCTAAACAAATGTGTATGGTGACTTTTAACAACATTTGGATTTGGTTGTTGCCTCATGTTGACCATAGCTCAATAAACTTCAAAAGGGCAAGACATTCTGTAAAATATTTGAGTTTCATCTCTCCCCTTTGGCTGTGAACCCCTTATAAGATGAAAAACATGTTTGTTTTTTTCATCATGAGGTGGTGAGTCCTCCCTGAAATCTGGAAAACAGAAACAGAGTGTATTCCATATGATATTAAAGTTTCTTAACCAGCACCAGAGCTCATATAAATCTCCATTAGAGAAAGTAAAGTGTTTATGCAGCACTGAGCACTCACTAAAACATGTTTTATGAGCTCCATGTGGAAGTTTGGCTAAAACTGAAGAAGTGGCGTGTTATTTTTCTCCTGCAGGATGGGGAGGTGATAGGAATCAACACTCTGAAGGTCACAGCAGGAATCTCCTTTGCCATCCCGTCAGACAAGATCAGACAGTTCCTGGCAGAGTCACATGACCGGCAGGCCAAAGGTTTGCCCAACTTCTCACTTACACTGTTAGAGAGTATGCGGTGCATTGTTAGCCTAGTGAACTAGACCAAATTCTTGCTTTGCAAAGTTTGGTCTAGGCACGCTCCATTGGAACCTCCACAGCTCCTACCAGGACTCTGGCTAGCCAATCCCAGCTCTCTAGAGGGGTTTCAAACACATAAAGAGCTGTGATTGGTCCATAATGGTGGGCCAATCATAGTGCTCTATCTGCTTAGTGAACAAATCACAGAGCTTTATCCGCTTTGTGGGCCAGTCAGGGCACTCTATATGCCTGGTGGGTGGGATGATGCAACAGAGTGAAACAAGAGTATGTCACATTCATTGTCCAGTGGAATGCGGAGATCATTTGAAAGACAACGGTAGAACCCGCCCCACAACCGAGAGCCGTTAATGGAGCATTGCCAGACTAAATAATACATTTATTTAGTCTGGCTTGCCAGGCTAGTGCATTGTAGCATTGACAGATAATTTAACCTGTTTTATAATTAAATACAGTTCATTAGGCACTTGTTTCATTTTGTGTCATGAGTTTCCTGAAAGGTTAAAAAAATCTGCAGAAATAAGCAGCTAATTCAGCTGTAAATTAAAAGGTATTTTGAAACATAAATCCATATTTTTCTAATGATTGACTGATTTTTTTAATGAGCACAAAGCCAGACTTGTGGAATTTGTCAGTACATCATTTGTAAAAGCACGGGTTCCGTAATAACAATAAACATTTACAGTTTATAACATATAGATAAGGCTGGGTATTTGTAATGAACAGTGTTCAGGAGGGTATCTGCAGTGGGGAAGATGTTTTGGATGCAGTCCTCCTGTACCGTCTCCCAGAGCGTAGTAGATGGAAAACGGAATGTGCTGGTGTATAGCGCCTTTCAGAGGACTCCATTAGCTTTTAGTGTATCATTCATCCATTCACACACACACACACACACACATTCACACACTGATGGCGCTACAATCACTAGCGGAACAAACCAGAGCCGGGCTGGGGGCGGAGCAAATGACTGGGCCCTTTAAACCCAAATAATAAAGGTCATGATAGCAGCGGCGGCCCATGTATTTGGTAGCTGGGCCTTCAGTGCCAATTTACTGATCCAATATGCTCTTACAATGGTGGCGGACTGGCCAGCTGAATTCTGGAGAAAAACGGCCGGTGTTGGCCTTCCCCCTACCCCACCTGCCGGAGATCCCCCAGGCTGCGGGAACGTCCAGCCTCCCACATTGCTTTAAGTGGACCGGTATGGCCACTTTTAATTTTGAGTTTTCCCAGTCATTTATTAGTTGACATCTCCAAGATTTCTGATATATCTGTCCGTCCCCAAACATTAGTCATCCACGGTACACCCAGGGCCGCCCCTCCCGATACGTCGGACTCGAGCTCCATGAGGGGCCACATTTTGTGCACAAGACGCATCACTCGGTGCACTTACATGTCCACCAGAAAACCAAAGTATTGCCCTAAAAAGACTAAGGTTGTTTTTTTTAAATGCATGTAAATGCTTTAGCCTGGCTGAAAGTGAACTCTTTCTAATCGAGCTGAAGCACCCAGGTAATACGGTAGCAATCCGAATACACTCTGCATGTAAACGCGTCAGCCGAGCTAATACAGGTTAGCATCTTTACTCAGCTCTCATAATTTTGAAACACTTAAGACTCAACTAGATTTCTAGGCCACATTAGAACTGGCGCAGCTCAAAATCTACAATACCAAGACTCTTCAAATTTTAACTAGATTTTAAACTAGAGCCCTTAGTTTGTGATTTGTCAAAGCTTTGATTTGTTACAGTTCAATAAGACACAGGTCTCGGATACTTTTTCATCTAGTCCAGCTCAAAACTTGACAAACTCTTCAAATCTGGACTAGATTATTCTACATTATAGCAAAATCTATAAAACAGTTGGTAATTTGTGAAACCTTTAGTAGATTAGTGAAAGTTAAGTCAACTTTTTTCAATTGAGTTGGATTATCATATTGCCATATTTTTTCAATACTATAGGTTTATAAACAGTAGGCTATGTTTAAGAGTTCTGACTGATCACCCATGAAAACTTAAAAGCAGATTAAAGATACAGTGAGTGGAAAAGCCTGCCCTACCTCCTGAACTACTGCTGCCAAAAGCTAAATTAGAGTTAGACGCTAAAGTGGCCATCTCCATCACGAATAAAGATGGGCGAGTCCATGAATGTGAAGTGATAGTGTGACTTAGATTTGTGAGGCTTTACAAATCCTGGAGTTTCACAGTCTGTTAGTAGCTAATGCAGGATATTGGTGTAGACTTTTTTTCATGTTCAGCCAGCATAAAAAAGTGCAAGTGAGTGAATCAATAGAAAAAGTTTGTGTTCACACTTTTAAATGTACTGGCAAGACTTGTCTAGGATCTTCCAGTGATCCATAACCGGTAAACACAGCAGTGGCTGCACTCAGGTAGAATTAGGGACTGATTTATTGAAATTTGGCCACAAAATTCTTACCTTTGATACAGATGCTAATTTTCTTTAAGGTGATACATCAAAAGTTGCCTACAAGTATTTGAAAAAATGCAGATAGATTTTTTTCAAAACAGAAATAAGCCTTTGCCTAATGAATTTTCAGTTCTGTAACTCGGGCAAGGCATGAACCATGGTCCTAGTTCCATCGGGAGGACATGTCCTTTTAGTCACGGCAAAGTAGCATTGACAGTCTGGACACTTAACAGCTAAAATCCTTTAATTTAAAGCTGCTTTTACCCAAAGTATTTTTTATTTGCAACTCAAGTTATGTTTCCGTTTGAACTTTGATGACTTTTCTGATGTTAATCCATTTGTTTTGAGACAGATTTATGACGTTGTTTAGATCTATGGTAAGCACTTTGAGATTCTACATCTGTGATAAGTGGAGTCGGAAATCCACATTGATCCCAAAAAAAAAAATCCCACACACTGGACTTAATATTCACAGGGCCAAAACAGATACAAGGCTCTTGTCCTCCATCTTCTGGTGATGCATAACTGATCAAGTGAGCTGCAGATGTGGCTGCACTCAGAGGGAGTGAGAATTAGAGACTGCGGTTTAAAAAATTGGCTAAAAGACATGTATCTTTGAAGATAAATATTAAGCTAGTGTTTAGTTGATATATCAAAAATTCACTGTTAATGCTCCAAGTATTAGACAGAATGCAAATAGAATGTTTATTCACAACAGCAATCAACCTACATGGTCAAATTAATATTCAGTTCTGAAACTCAGGCAAGGCAGGGATCATGGTTCTGGGTCCGTGGGGAGGACGCCAAGGTGGCCACCTAAACGTCACAGGAGGACGTGTCGGTCTAGTCACGGGATGAGTAGCAGGTTGAGGAGGAACTGTCACAGGGGGACGAGTAGGAAAGGTCCTGATAGGACGGCGAGTTGGAAATCGACAAGGATCAAAACGGTCTGGAGATTCACAGGGCCAAATATTTGACACCACTTCTCTCCGAGCTGGTTCCAGTCCTACAAGCTGTGGTGCTGCAGCGTTCTGGTCGTTACTGGTGTTGTTGACGGTACTGCATTCAGCAGCTGTAGAGTTCCCACATTGTAGAGGAGTCACATTCCCACTCACTGCTGCCTTTATGTTGGTTTCCCTTTTTACTTTAAGATAAGCAGTCATTAGAACAAGAACTTCTCACATAGAACCCAGTTTAACTCTTGACCTAAACAAACCCAACTCAAAGAGCCTTCACCCAACTTCACCATTTGTGCAGCTTATGGGTCAGAAGCACGGGAAGCAAAGCCTAAAGTTAGACTTCCCAGTAGAGTTTTACAGAAACTGCTCAGCTTTAGCACCTTTCTCCAGAAAAGGAAACAACTTCTTTGGAGCTGAATCATTTGGAGACAGGTCTATAATCCAGAACCACCAAGTTGGTGTCAGAAGCAAACATTTACATGACTCTAGAACTGGTTTCCTCACCTTCCTGTTTAACCTGCAGCTCATCACCAGCTCTAGCACTTGTTGATCCACCTGATGAACAAAAATACATCCAAAATAAAGCTTTTTTTAAATCTGATATTAACCAAGCTTTTTAAACTAAATGCTAAATTTCAACTCAAACTTTCTAAATTACTAAAATTAAACCAAACCTTCAAAGAACAACACACTCAGCGCACAAACAACCAGAGCTCCACCCACTGCCATGGTTCTGGTGTGAAACAACCCAGCTCACCTGGCAGGTTTACAAACACGCATCATGTGTGAAACAGCTGTGGATCATCAGCTGTGATTGGCTTTTTCTCAGAGAAGTCTGCAGACTCCAGTACAGCTGGTGGCAGCAGCACATCTTTAGAAGTGGATGCTTCTCCTGTGATAGTGTGTCATAAAGCCACAGAACAAGTGCTTTCTTTGTTCCATTCCATAAAAATGTAATCAGAAGACCGTTGTAAAGTAACAAAAAATTTCAATGTTTTCTAAATCAGCTCATTGCTTTGTGTTTTTCAGGTAAGACAACTCTGAAGAAGAAATACATCGGCGTGAGAATGATGAGCCTGACTCCAACGTGAGTTCCTGTTTTGACACAAGAATGAATACATTTTGCTTCAGTGAGACTGTGTCTGAGTTCTGCTGTTTCCTAAGGCAGATTCAGTGAGATGAAGATGATGTGCTTGTTTCTTCTCAAATGAATCCGAAAGCTTCTAACTGACCAGGTTGTGACAAGGGTTAAAGTTAGCCTGGCCTGCCAGACTCGCCCTCTGTTTAATTCTGCACAGAGAAAGAGTCTGAAAACGCACAGGCAGAAAGGCACATGAGGGGCGGGACTAGGCCGCTCAAAAGTAACCAATGAGAAAAAAGACGGAAATACAGACTGTATCGCACGACGCTGTAGTTTTCTAGCTGTAGTGAAAAAGCATCTGGCAATGGCGCAAACATCTCTTATTTTTTTTATAGAAGAAATGTATTTAGCACTTTTACTCGTGGTTTTAAAGACATTTGAGTCATTTAGACCAGAGGAAAGAGCCGCAGCGAACTCCGCCTCTGTCTTCGTTGTTTATGAGAAACTGAGTGTCGCTGTGTGTGACGTCCGCGACGCTGTAATTTTTTTTAGCTGTGGTCAAAAATGGAGTCTGGCAATGGCGCAAACATCTTTCTTTAGAAACAAGGCTTTTAGCGCTTCTACTTGTTGTTTTAAAGACCTGTCCAAGTAATTTAGAACAGAGGAAAGAGACGCAGCGAACTTCGCTTCAGTCGCCATGTTTGACAAACTCGGCGTTGTGGTGTGTATCGTTTGTTACTCAGCGCTGATTGGCTCTGTTAGAATTCTCAGGGGGTGGGGTTATTTGAATAGAAGCGTTCCCAGACTCTTTCTCTGTGCAGAATTAAACAGAGGAGTTGTCTGGTAGGCCAGGCTAGGTTAAAGTGTGACCTCAGCTTTAGATACCTGCTGCCAAGTCAGACCCAAAACACTGCTAAAGATATCAACCATGTTCACAGAATACATTACATGATTTTTTTTGGTGTAAAACAAAATGGAGCTTCGTTAAGTAAATGTGTAACCATGATGACCGAACAATGCAGTGTTTTCATTAACATTCACTCTGTTGAAGCAAGAAGGGTCCAAGTTTAAAATTCATCCTGTCAGGTTTTATTAAATCAGCGGAGCGTGTTTAAAGCTCATGTTCTGGGTGTTTGTCCTCCATTTTCCCTTCAGGCTGGCAAAGGAGCTGAAGGAGAGGCAGTCGGACTTCCCCGATGTCACCTCAGGAGCTTACGTCATTGAGGTCATCAGCCGAACTCCAGCTGAGGCGTGAGTGTTGGTTATTCTACATTCAGCTCCTTTAGTGAGTCAGATTTTCTCTCCATCTCAGTCACAATTGGCATATTTGTCTCCTTGGTCAATGACTGAGTTTATTAAAGTAAATGTTGGTTGGAGGCAGAAAATAGTTGGAGTCAGGAAATGTTTTTGTGGGTCACATGACAAGCTTGATGAAACCAAACCCCAGCACTACCAGACCAGAGAAAGCAGCAGGTAAAGTTTGGGTTCTTCTTGTGTGGTCTGAGTGTTACTTTGTTCTAACATCTCTGAATTCTCTAACAGAGCTGGTTTGAAAGACGAGGACGTCATCATCAGCATCAATAGCGAGCCCATAACCTCTGCCAGCGACGTCAGCGCTGCCATAAAGCAAGACGAGAAGCTGCGAACTGTGGTGAGGCGAGGAAACGAGGACGTGATCCTAAACATTTTCCCTGAGGAGATTGACCCTTGACCTCTCAGCTGTTGGACCTCCATCTGAAGCTGAGGCAGTCAACCAATCATGAGCTGGCTCACAGTTACTGTCAGCCAATCATTTTGAGATAAGATGGGGGAGGTGTGAGGCCACTGGTAGAACTTGTAATCATCAGCCTCATTTTAAAGCCGTCACACACCCTCTGAGAGGTTTGTTACTCTGATTACTCTGTGGACTGAAGCATCACATTTTCATCATTTTAGCTTTGCTTTCCTCTAATCTGAATTCTTCTTCAGGCATCCTTTATAATGTACTACCGCCCCCTGTTGCTGCAGAGAGGTTACTGCAGGTTGTTCACTGTGTATAAATATGTTGATGATGGAATCTTTTGTAATAATTATTTTGTCCACGTTTGATGACGATGTTACCAAAAAGGGAAAATAAACATAGAAAAGAGCTTTCTTTATTAATTTGATCAGTTTGGAATTATCTGTTCATCACTGCTTGTGTCCGGTTAGAATATGAGGTCATAAAATGTGAAAAATATCAGCATTTTATTTTCCAGTGGTCTCAATATGAAACTCAGACACAATTTTATTTACCTATGATAAACTGAGTGGGATATTTAAGACGGTGTTTAGGAATCTCATGAGATATTTGTCACGTTGAGTGCAGGAGGTTAGGACCCAAAAATGCAGAACACCAGATCACTCGAGGCAGGAGCAGTTGTAGAAAGTAAAGTCCTTTATTTAGGATGATGAACCAAAAAAATCCAAAAGGGGCAGGAAGCCAAAACCTAATATCAAAACACCGACAAAAACCAAAAGCTCACCTTCTGAGCAGAGACACCTAGTGGGGTGGGATGTGGGAGACGATAAAACAACGTTGATGACAACAATGGACTGACAAACACTGAGAGACGCAGACAGGGGTATATATATGGGGCTGGATGATTAGGAGATGAGGAGCAGGTGCGTGGAGAGTGTGCACAGGTGAAACTACTGAACTGAGGGAAGAAGCGGAAATAAGCACGGGAGAAAACCATATCTAAGTCCTGTAAACCAAGGGTACTAAAATAACCCAAAACTAAACTTAAACACTGTAGAACAAAGACACAGGGAAATCTAAAAATAAGTTAACGAATGATCTAGGCGGGGAAGGAAACACACACACTAAAGGAGACTAAGGCCCTGTCCACACGTTGCCGGGGATCTGCCAAAACGTAGATATTTTTCTACGTTTTGGCCTGTCATCCACACGAAAACTGAGTTTTTTCACACAAAAACGGATCTTTTTAAAAACTCCGGCCAAAGTGAAGATGTAACTACAGGGGTCCAACAAAGAATGGCCACGCATCATACTGATGTCTTCGGATGTTTATTTTGCTCTCTCTCTCTCTCTCTCTCTCTCTCTCTCTCTCTCTCTCTCTCTCTCTCTCTCTCTCTCTCTCTCTCTCTCTCTCTCTTATTGTCTTCAGACACCGTGAAAACTGAAGAAACACAAAGTTTACACCATAACTGTTTGAACTTATCAGTCTCTCATATCATTGTCCATCAACAGTCTCGAGCAAGCAGAACAGAAAGAAAATGCGCAATAATGAATCACAAAAATGTCCTCTCATTACCAGTGTAGAACACATACGCAACATTATACAAACATTACACATGAAACCATGCCGTGTGCGCCTCTTGGACCACATGCAGAATGACGTTAACGTCGAGGCTGTAGACGCATCTGTAGCCATGTATCCATGCTATGGTTGTGCTCTCAAACAAACTCTGATCATGTGACCATTACAAACTCTACCTCATACAAACTTTACAGCACGTTACATATTTAACAAACCCATATTTTGTAATCACATATTTTAGACATGTTTTTTAATCAATGTTACACTTTTATCATCTTATCTAGTAATTAAATGAACCGAATTAAGCATCTCTCTATCACAGAAACATTTGAAATAAACAACTTTATTTTAACTGTCTCAGGGACATTTACACTCCCACCAAATTACTAAGATTTATGAACTGTTAATAATTTGAATAAATCTAGAAATTTTCAGAACCAAACAGTACTTAATTGTGACAATCTTGCAAGTCAAGTCTAATACTTTAACCATCCCATATACATTTACAGAAGTTCCACTGGAACATTCTAATTACTCTCTATTAGGGCCACTAATTTATGTATAGGGCGTTCAAGAGTGGATGGTTTATTGAGCCTTTCACCCTCTTTCGATAGTTTTCTATTTCCTAGTTGTATTCTGGCTTTCCGAACCAGACCGTCTTCATCTTTGAAAGCATCTTCTTGTGCTAATTTTATAAGCACATGACTTGCTTTTCTCCTATCTTCCACATTTATACCCTTTGTTGCATTGGCTCTTTTGGCTAGTTGCTGAATCCTAGCAACTACATTTACTGCTGTATGCCATTTTGAGAACCTTTTGAGTCTCTCCAAGAAGTTCCTGTCCACTACTACCTTTGTTTGTAGTATTTGTGTTGTTTTGACCTCTGGATCACCTACCAGAAGGTCTGGAGTTGAGTCTGGTGTGACAAACCCTCCAAAGGAATATCATACCATCTTTATGCAGATGACATCCAACTGTACATCTCCTTTAAGCCCCATGAGATGTCTAAGCTGCAGCCGTTACACACCTGCTTAGACTCTATCAAAACCTGGATGGCTGGGAGATTTTTTCAACTGAATGAAGATAAGACTGAGATCCTCATCTGTACCCCAGAAAAGCTGGTTCCCAAAGTCAGAGACTCTCTTGGTCAGCTTGCTTCTCACACCAAACCTTCTGTCAGGAATCTTGGCATGACCTTTGACCCAGCTCGCACCCTGGATTGCCATGTCAGTTCTCTTCTTCGCTCTTCCTTCTTCCATCTCAGGAACATTGCTAAGCTGAGTCCCATTCTGTCCCGCTCTGAACTTGAGACTGTTCTCCACACCTTCATCTCCTCACGCTTAGACTACTGTAACTCTCTTTTCACGTGTCTGAGCAGAACCTCCCTGAACCGTCTACAGGTGGTTCAGAATGCCTGTGCTCGGCTTCTGACCAAGTCCTCCAAACACACCCACATCACCCCGCTTCTCCTCCAGCTTCACTGGCTGCCAGTCAACTTCAGGGTTCATTTCAAGATCCTGGTTCTGGTCTATAGGGCCTTACATGGACAAGCACCATCATACATTGGTGATCTTCTTAGTCCCTACACCCCCAGCAGGTCCCTGAGGTCCAGTGATCAAAGCCTACTGGTTGTGCAGCACCAGGCTAAAGACCAAAGGTGACAGATCATTTGCTGCTGTGGCCCCCAGACTCTGGAACTCTCTCCCCCTGAGCTTGAGATCAGTGGACTCAGTGGACTCCTTTAAAAAGCAGCTGAAAACTCACCTGTTCAAGCTGGCTTTTGTTTGACCTTCTTCAACCCCTCTCTCTTTATTCTGCTCTCCCCACCTATTCCACCTTCCTCGGGATCCACCGATTTCCCTCTTTCCTATTCACTCTCTCTCTTAACATTTTTTAAATCACAATTGTCTATTTTTGCTCATTTTAAATATATTTTTCAACAATTTCTAAATGCTTTTTTATATTTTTACATTTTTTGTTTTTGTGAAGCGCCTCGTGATTTTTATCTTGAGAGGCGCTATAGAAATTATATTTTCTTCTTCTTCACCAGGGAAAATCGACCTCAAAGTGCCTCAAAGTTCAATAAAAGTGTATGCTATCAGTGTGGACAGGAAGGCCACACCAAGCCTGTGTGCCCCCAAAACCCAAGTTGATTAAACCAATTGTTTTTTGCCACAGCAGATGGTGAGAAGAAAACCTGAAAAACATAATTCCAAGAAAATGACCACTGTGACCATAAATGGGCAGAAAATAGAAGCTTTATTGGATACAGGAAGCACTCAGACTCTGGTTCATAGGAAATGCATACCATTCAGTGACTTGGGCATGTCTGAACCAATAACAGTTTGTTGTGTGCATGGGGATTAGAAATCTTACCCCACAGCTGATTTGTGTATTGGGGTACAAGGGGCTACTTATTTGCTGAAGGCTGGTGTGGCAGACAATCTACCTTACCCTGTGGTTTTGGGGGAGGATCTGCCTGTCATCTATGATCTGTTGAAGGAAGTGGAAAGCTGTAATGCAGCTGTGACAAGGGCTCAAGCAAAATCTCAAAGTGACCAACTTAAAACTCTCAGTACTTTGCCTTTCTTTGACTCTGACGTGGAAGGACGACCTGGGAAGACTCGCAAAGCACGTAGTCAGAAAAGGCATGAGAAGTTGGAATATAGTGTGCAAAGAGGTCAAAATGAAGAATCTCCAGATCTGCTCTTGGGGTTTACGATTCCTAATGATATCAGACAAATGCAACAAGATGGTTTGACCCTGTCAGCTCTTTTGCTGAAGGCTAAAGGTGAAACTGAGGTAGAATGTGACACCAAGAAAGGGCGATACATCCTTCAACATGGCATTTTGTACCATCACCATGGCCAGCTGAAACGATTTGTGGTCCCTAAAGCAGCCCGGGAGACCGTGCTAAGGTTGGGCCACTCAATTCCCTGGGCTGGCCACCTGGGGAAACATAAGACCACTCAATGTATTAAACGCAATTTCCTGTGGCCTGGTTTATGTTTAGATGTTGCTCGGTTTTGTAGAAGCTGCCCTCAGTGTCAAATCACTTCAGTTAAAGTTCCCATTAGAGCACCACTGCAGTCGCTCCCAATAATCTGTACACCGTTTGAACGCCTTGGAATGGATGTTGTTGGTCCTGTGGAAAAGAGCAAAGCAGGAAACCGTTGTATGCTGGTCATCACTGACAAGATATCCAGAAGATTTTCCATTAAAAAACATCAAAGCAAAGGCTGTGGCTTTCTCATTGATTCAACTATTCTCAAGAGTTGGGTTTCCACAAGAAATTCTTGCTGACCAAGGGACTAATTTTATGTCAACCTTGTTGCAGCAGGTTTATAGGTTGCTGGGCATCAGGAGCATGCGGACATCTCCATATCATCCACACACGGATGGACTGAAGGAGCGTTTCAACCAAACTTTGAAACAGAGGCTTTGTAAGTTTGTCAACAGTACTGGGTCTGATTGGGACCAGTGGCTCACGTATCTTCTCTTTGCCTACAGAGAGGTCCCTCAGGCTTCTACTGGTTTCTCCCTGTTCGAGCTCCTCTATGGGCATGAGGTGAGGGGTCCTTTGACCCTGCTGAGAGAGACGTGGGAGGGAGACCAGGGTAAGGCAGAGCCAATTAACATAATTTCCTATGTGATCCAAATGAGGGATAAGTTGCAAGACATGAGTGAAATGGCTCAATCGCACATGGCATCTGCCCAACAGCATCAGAAATCGTGGTTTGATAAAGCTCGAAAACACAGTTTTCTTCCAGGCCAAAAGGTTCTGTTGATACCAACTTGTGACAGCAAGCTGCTGGCAAAGTGGCAGGGACCATTTGAGGTTCAGA